AATCGCCTAGAATAGGGAAAGTTAAAGTATAAAATAATTTATATGGCTGCTAATAAGTATTTATTATTTATTAATTGTTATTTGGTATCCTTGTTAAATTCTATTTAATAAATGCAAATTTAGAATTAGATTCTTGTTGAATTGATATTTAAAATATAAATATTTCTGATCTTCTAGTTAGACCATTTAACATACAGTATTCCCAGTAACTATCTTTAGTTCGAAAAACGTGAATAACTTTTGACTGGGTTATTGGATATTGAATCTGTTTTCACAGAATTGTTGCCTGATAACACCAGAGTAATTCCATATATCAATTGCCCAGGTAACTATCATGGTTACAAAAATATATAAAATCTAGTAACGGATAAATTTCTCATAGAAAAGCATTGACAATTTTTTTTTATCAAATAGTGTACCAGTTCTAACCTTGATACATTTTCAAAAATTTATTGTTTGGAAATGTTCAGTATAAGTTAAAAGTCTAATTTGTATATTTTGAAAATTTTGTCAAACAATTTGTCGTCTCTGTAATGTTGTATTTTTGTAGCTCAAAAAGTACTTGGTCAATTTTATTGTTTAATATACCAAATTATTCAGAATAAAATATCAGTTGATATCTATTTCAGGAAATTTTTAATAGTGAGCATTTTAAAATTTTACTTACTTTAAACACTTTTAGAACAATCACGGTAATTTTTTTTAATGTTTCCTGAAATAGGTTTCAAATAATATTTTATTGTAAATAATTTGGTATATTAAACACTAAAATCGACCAAGTACTTTTTGAGTTACAAAAATACACCATTACCGAGAAGACAAGTTGTTTGACAAATTTTTCAAAATATACAAATTACACCTTTCACTAATACAGAACATCTCCAAAAAACAGATTATTGAAAATGCACTTAAATTAGAAATGGTATATCAATAACTGTATTGTCTATTTTGGTTGTATGATTATTCAATGCTTTTCTATGAGAAATTTGTCCGTTACTAAATTTGATATATTTCTGTAACCGTGATAGTTACCTGGGCATATTATATACGGAATTACTCTGGTGTTATCAGGCAATAATTCTGCAAAAACAGATTCAAAATTGAATCACCCAGTCAAAAGTTATTAGCTTTTTTCGAACTAAAGTAAGTTATTTGGAAAACTTTATATTTGCTATATAGATTATAATTCAAACTAAACTCACAACTTAAGATACAGTTTTTACTTTTACACTTAATTTCTAATAAAATAGTTTATTAAACTTTTAATAATTAATATATATGCGAAAATGTTAATTTTACTCTCCCGTTCGCCCCCTAATTTAGTTGGTTGCCAATTTATATATTAAATTATAAATTTTATTAACATCAAAATACTTTTCTAAGAATTATACTGTATTTGAGGATATAATTATCAAAGAGCGGATTTGTACGAATTTTGTACGAAAATAGTGTTATGCATCACTTGTAAAAAAATTTAGAAACTCAATCCTATTAGTTCATAAATAGGGTTTAATGGTTATTTTCAAAATAAAAAGTTATTTACAATGAAATACTCACATAAATTGTTATCACTTGCACATAAGTCATTCATTTTTCTCAATGTCTCATCATCGAGATTATTTACTTTAGGTTTTAAAATATTTAAAGACACTTACTAACTTTAAAGGTTAATTACACTAAATTGTGTAGCATTTTATCACTGAATTTACATATATTGTAATCATTATTTTCGCATTCAATCGCTTCACACAAAACTCAATTATTTGTATTCAAAATACACTGAATTTTAGTTATTATTTCACACAAACTTTATTTAATTTAATTTACTTATTATTTTGTAAATTAAAAACATTTTTATAACAAAAATATAAAAACCATTTTCACATAAAAGATAGCAAACAATGAACTCAAATACTGGATCGCCAATAACACGTGTTTTGAATTTTAGTCAAAATCAGGTATAAATAATGTGCCCTGGAATTAATCCTTATCATGTTTTGCACTAACATTATGTTTACTCAAAACAACTGCAGTAATGTATATGTATGTGTTTTAATCCTACAGTGTATATTTCTTTTTACTCAAGTGATGTATAACACTATTTTCGTACAAACGTTCGTACAAATCCGCTCTTTGAATATTACTCTTTTAGAAAATATATATTTATGGAACATTGGAAGATCACGCTAGCCGAAATTATTATTTTATTTATTTGAACTAAACAAATTTACATTAAACGAAAACATTTAAAAAATTTGAAATATCTTTATAATTATTTTCTAAAAAATAAATTGTTATAGTATTAGCAATATAACTATGATTTTATTATCAGTTACTGAATAATAAAATACCTAGATTATAATAACAAATAAAACTTATTTATTGATATATACTTTCAGGGCGTCATCGATAAAATGAACACTCGGCCAGTATTTGTGTCAATATTTTAGTGCACAATATATTAAAATAATTATACTAAATTTTTAACCACAATTCTGTATAGTATAATGTGGTTTATAAGATCGTTCGACCCCCCTTGAGTTAATTTAAATTAAATTTTATAAAGTAAAAAAATACTAAATTGTTTCGATTAATAAAAATTCAAAAATGCATTTAATCATTATTTTATTATTTATGATATAGTTTGAAACCAATTTACTAATTTTCCACGATGTTGTAATAATAATATATTTTATTATAATGTTCATTACAGTTGGCAATCAATCATATGATGCATTAATCATTATATTAGAAACAATATGTTAATAATGTTATGGTATTTATTTATAATTATTTTTCAAAATAAGTAAATAGTAATTATCCCAAACAAATACATTAGAATAAATAATTATTTAATAAATCACATCCTTTATAATGAAGTGTAATTAAAAACCATTTTAATTAAGATTATATAAGTAATGTAATTAACACAAAAGAAATCTATTTATTATTGTTAATTGTGATTGTAATCAAAGCTGTAATTTAATCATTGAATAATATTTTAATTAAAATTAAAATCAAAATAAATATAATTTATTGGTTATGGGCATCTTTAGCAGTTTAAATTATTGCATTTGTATTTAATTTTATTATTTATCAAAATTATCCTGATTACAGTTGCTTGTTGGGGTCAAATAATTTTATTCTGATTGAGGTAATACCCATATAATGCACAATTTGAATATAAATAATTTATTGTATTGATATACTTTTATGTGTGTTTAACAATAATTATAATTGGTCAGAAAACGACCATCCAGCTAGAATTAATTTACAAATTTTTATGCATTCATAAATACATTATTGAATTTATAATTTAATTTAATTTTTATGTACCATTTAACTTAATTAACAAAACCTCAATAAATAAATACAGAAGTTATTGCAAAATCATTATAAATTTGCAAAACTGTAATTAATTATTTACATATTATTATAAGTATGTGAATTATTTTAGGTAATTCAGTTTTTGGATGGCAAATCTGGAAGCGTTCTAAAGACATTTTTATATACAATATATGTATAATAGTTTGCGGTTTAAAATAAAGCATTTGTAGTTAATTTTATTAATTAATAAAATCAATCAGAGTATAATGGTTTATTGTGGTTAATTAATCTTATATTTATTAGGGTAATATCTATATAAAGCTCAATTTAAATAAAACATTCTACTTTTAATTAACGTTTTATTCGTATGGGTATAATCTTAATATTTTAAGTCAAATTAGAATTTATTTTAAAAAAGTGTTTGGTAAAGTTAGTATACGATATTTTACATAAGGTATATTAATATATATCGATAATTGATTTTAATTTAAATATTATAAAACTGTAACAAAGTGGCTGAATTGTGATAGATCATCTTGATTGTTTTAAATTACTCGTGGTCAACCTTTTTTAGCATATCACAAGTACAGATTCACAGTGTGCCATAAAAAGGCGGCGCATCGGTCAGTAACAAAGTTTAGGTTTGTCAGTATTAAACAAGAAACACTATGTGAAGGTCAACCTAATAGTTTGTCACCCATTTTTATAGTGGTTGACTTTCAGTCTATCCACAAAACGTCATTTAAAACAAAGGAGGATCGGCAGATCTGTAATGGGGGTTTATAAAATCTGTAATGGGGACATAGGTTACCTGAATGTTATCAATTTTTTTACAAATTAAAAGCGATTTGTTGTATGACATTAAACTACGTCAAATATGAAGTAAATTGATCTTTTCCATATGACCATCCGACCTCGGGTTCAGCCGCAGTGACCACTTTTAGCAAGAATTTTAACATATCCAATACTAACATATGATATATGAAATCAATGTAGAATTTAGCGTAGAATTAGAATATCGTAATCACATCTTGATAGAGTGCCTAGATTTAATGTAATTTTAATTTATTTTTGGTCCGCGATTAGTGGTGGTAACTATTGAGTCAGGAGTGCTGAAGGTGGCCTGGGGATGTGTATGGTGTTGGCGTGAATAGTAGGGGTTGAGGAATAATAGGTCATTTTACTAATTTTATCTAAAATTTAACAGTTTTAAGTAAATAACATAAAATGAATTGACCCCACAGATGTGATATTGCGATATTCTAGTTCTACAGTAAATTCTACATCGATTTCATATATCATATGTTAGTATTGAATAAGTTGAATTTTCCCGACAAAAGTGGTCACTACCGCCGAACCCGAGGTCGGTCGGCCATATGGATTATATCATTCGACTCCTTAAAGACAGTACTTTCGTTTTATATTGTCAAATCCCGGGTGCAAGCGTAGGCGGATTTGCCGATGCTTCTTTAATTATTAAATACACATTTTAATGAGATTTCTGATATTGTTTGCGATTATCAACAATTTTATGAACCCTCTGTGTATAATATGTTCATTCATTCAAATGATTAATAATTTTTAATCCAAACTTTAAAACATAATTTTAATGTTGTTTATGACAATTGGCTTTTCTACTCCAAGTTCCCAAAAGGAACTTGGTTGACCACGAGTACATTAAATGATGAAACAATTTATTAAGTATTAAAAATTTGTCTAAATGTCTACAATTAAAAAGTGAGTTATTTTGTGGTCTTTTGTTTGGCAGACAATTCTAACTGTAAGACAGTTTTGACAAATTTCTTGATGTCTTCGGCGACCAGTTTTGGCTCTTCAAAAGCGGCGAAGTGTCCACCTCTGGGCTGATCCGTAATTTGAACCAAATTGTCAAATAATGACTGTATGAGTGCTTTAGGCGCCCGCCCAAGTTCATTGGGGAAATCAGCCACAGCTGCCGGTACAGTGACTGGCATTCTGGGTAAACAAATACACAAAATGATACAGTTAGAACATGATAATGTATACTGTACTATACTTGAAACCAACAATATAAAACTAAAACTATTCAATTGTCATACCTGCTAATATCGGTAAAAATAATGGCCGCGTTCTCTTTATAGTACCGCATACTTGAGGCCACATTATTGGACACCCAATAGATCATAATGTTTGTCAACAATTCGTCCATGGTGAACTTTTTGGTCAAAGAGCCGTCGGGTTGATTCACAAACTCCGGGTCAGTCCATGTCGTAAACTTTTCCAGTATATACGCCGCCAGACCTACGGGACTGTCGACGAGTGCGGCGCCCACTGTATCCGGTTTAGTGGCCTGAATGTGAAAATAACCCGACTCTCTGAGCATGAAGGACAATTTGTCAAACCATGGGTGCACTTTAGAGTAATCACGGCCAGGATTCTCGTACACCAATGATGGTAAATAACCACCCAGTATTTGTTTTGCTATAGTTTTGCCGTCCATAGCCGCCTGAACCATCGTTACGTGCATTCCTCGTACACTAATTGCAAAAAAACAATTTACATTTTAGTTATGCTAAACAAATACAAAATGTTTTATCAAATAGTGATAAACTAATGATTTTTAAAAATTACTTTTGCGGGTATAATACAGATATAGTTCGGGACACAAAACTACCCCAATCTCCTCCGTGAACAAAGAATGTTTTGTGACCCAATCTGTTCATCAGTTTTACAAATATATGAGCCGTTTGGATCACGTTGAAACCTGTACATCAAAATGACATTTATAATATCAGATAAGCGACACATTTTTATTTGCGCTGATAATGTGTGCACTCAATGCATACCCTCCTGATGCGGGGCCTCTGAGAAGCCATAGCCTGGAATCGATGGACAGATCACTTCAAAGGCCATGACACAAAACTACCCCAATCTCCTCCGTGAACAAAGAATGTTTTGTGACCCAATCTGTTCATCAGTTTTACAAATATATGAGCCGTTTGGATCACGTTGAAACCTGTACATCAAAATGACATTTATATTGGGCTAAATGATATTGTATTAGCTTAGCCCAGTTGCCGTGTAGTTAGAATTCTGAAATTGGTTTTATAATTTAAGTTGACATCTCTAGGCACCAGAATCCAAGTTTCATCAAGATTGGATTAATAGTTTATGAA